AGATTAAAAAGAGACTTGAAAAAACAGAAACAGAAGGATGCTGAGAATACCATTAATCGGACATCTGAGCAACAATGAAGATTTAGAGAAAATGGAAACAGAAAGGATATTTATACTTAACATCAGGAAAAGAGAGTTGAAATTTATAGAACACATTATGAGAAAAGATGGATTGGAAAATTTAACCCTCACAGGACGGAAGGGGAACAGGGGAAATCAAAGATTAACCTACCTACCGAGCTTAAATAAATGAATGGCGGAACAAGGTTTAGGAGATATAACTAAAAGACAAAATTAACTAAATGCTACAAAGGACTGGAAATTGTGGAGAGCCATGATCAACTGGATGATATATTATTTTATGTGAAAGGTATTAATTTATTGATTAATAAAAAACAGTTAAACTGCCTATGACAATCACTGCATAGCCTCACGTTGTATTAAATTTCGGTAAAATTAAAATTCGGTAAAAATTTCAGTTTTCTATGTATATTTTTATCGCTTTTCTATTAAGATTCTACAAACTATGGGCCGTCTCACTGGCCAGATTATTAAATATAGTAATGAATATACTACCAATTATGCTGTAAATCACCATCATTAAAAATATGTCTCACAACTTAGTAAAAATAATACTATACGATACGGTTAAAAATAGACACTACAATGAATGGAAAATTCATATCATTCTGATATAGTAGGATTTTATTTTACATCTGAAATATTTCTCACCCAGAAAAAGTAAATATTTTAAAGGAAGATTATGAAGATTATGAATCAGGCTCATAATATTAAAAATAATACGTGTTTCACGGCTAAATTATATGTCTTAATGTAAAAAAGGGATAAAATTACATTCTATCAAAATATTAATCAGCCGAAAACAGAAATATATATTTGATTTTCATTAATTAATTTTGACTTTGGGGTGCGTCATAGGTTGAAGATTGTTTTGAAAACAAAAAATAAAATGTAAAATCAATCATGATGATAAATGCAAATCAATATATCTGAAAATAGTTCGTATTTATCCGAGGAATATTTGATAACGACATATGAGTACAGGTAAGAGTTATCTTCCTTTACATGAGACAAAAATTAGGTAAATTTGCGTGAGTGTGTAATATTATTTGTTCAATACGTATAGCACAGTTAAGAATAAGCAGGATTAATAAAATAGGCAAAGGATATGTGTAGATTTATATATTTATATAGAAATTACACGATTTAGTGAAATACAAAAACAGGTAATTAATTATTTTAAAAACTGAGACTACAAGGAACGATGAAGAACAACGTTACATTATTATTTTAGCTCGTGTTTTGAATTCGATATTTAAAGGGTCACCTCAACTGCTATAAAATTGCAAAGGTTAATTGCAATATATATATATATATATAAATATATATATATATATATATATATATATATATAATAAAAAACATAATAATAGTAATATTATATATATATAAAATAAAAAAATAAAATAATCGTAATAAATTTATATATATATATATATATATATATATATATATATATATAAAATAATAATAATATATATATATATATATATATATATATATATATAAAATAATAATAATAATAATAATAATAATGGTATATATATATATATATATATATATATATATATATATATATATATATATATATATATATATATATATATATTCATATATATATATTTGGTAGATAGATAAATAGATAGATATTATTGTTTTTCCTCACCAGGAGCACAAAATTGATTTTCATTATAAACACACACTCCACAAACACACAATTTTCACACACACACACACAAGCAAACAAACAGAAATTGCTTTATAAAAAAAAAAAAAAAAATATGGGAGTATATGATTTATACATTTTATATATTCAAACTCTGTTAATTCAATGACAAAGCGGGGAAAATTCTGTTTGACGCGTTTCGACTTTTAGGACTTTATCCGACAAAAGCAATATTTTTGTTGATAGAATCGCATATGTGTGGAAAGTGGAGGCATTATATGAGAAGGCAAACGTTTGCTATATTTATGCACAGACGAAAAATGCAGATAATATTTGAAACGCCAATTTTGAAAGTAAATGTAAACACACACATACATACACACACACGCACGAACACATACACACTGTCACACACACACACACACACACACACACACACAACGCACACGCACGTATTTTTAGAAAATTATCGGTCCGATCAATAAATCTTTTTCCAAAAATACTTATTCCGTTTGATAAGATTTTGGAGAAAGGGGATTAGTCCCGTTGCATTTCTTTTCGCACAAATTTTATTGAAATATTTTGAACCCGTTGCCCTCTCAGCTATATATTTATATTGCATAGTAGTCTATATCTTGCCATAAAACCAGATTAATGTAGTGAAATCTACTTTAGCAAAGTAAAAAATAATTAATTCATAAATCACAATGAATAAAGACTCTGTGGAGACTGATGATCGATTCCGTCCTGAACATTATATATATATATATATATTATTTATTGTATATTTTTGCACACACACTTTAGTGATTTTGATTAAAGAAAAAAATACAACTTTTGTCGTTAATGTTATTTTTTTTTATGTTTTTTTCCTATTTTTGGATAAGTTTTGAGTGTTGTGCTCAAAATTGTGGACAAAATGCCCGAAGACAATATTCTATTATTTTAGTTCAAGTACATTCGAATGACGCAAGCATTATCAATAAACAATATGTCTACATCTAACTATCCTTTGAGAAAAATCGGTATTATCGGTATATATATATATATATATATAAAATATATATATATATCTATATATATATATAAATAATGTATATGTGTGTGTGTGTGTGTGTGTGTGTGTGTTAACGAATATCAAATACTTACAATATTCTTTTAATTAATATTAATTTTTTCTGCTTTTTGACATGGATGGTGGGACCCTGGTTCTATATCCTCCTGAAAATTAAATATCGATTACCATATTGCATCATTAACTTATATATATATATATATATATATATATATATATATATATATATATATATATATATATAGATGCCAAAGTCGTTAATGTGTGTTTGCATTGCGCGCATGTGTGTGTGTCTTTGTGTATCTTTTGTGCGTGTGCGTTTAGATTTCGTTGTATTGTGGGGAAAATATATACGTTTTATATGGACAGAGGTAAACAAACTGCATCGTGTATGGCAATTATGATATCAAATTTTGTTACTAAGTTGAAAAATCTAAATCAAAGTTTTCCCCAAAGCCTGAGTATAATCGAATCAGAAACACAGTTCTAAAGGATCGGCGTTTATGTATTCTAAGATGTATGAGATGACATATTGAAACACACATCGTAATCAACAGGAGAACCATCATCTCATACACACACACACACATAACACATAAACAACATATATATATATATATATATATATATATATATATATATATATATATATATATATATAAAGCTATTTTAAAAATTTTGGTAATCCGTTTGGATAATCCCAAACTAAAATAATCCAGAGAACAAAATATTATATCAACAGTACAATTTTTTTTTTTTTTTGTTTTTTGAATTCGTGACCTGCTTCCAAAAACCACAATGACATCTTTATAATTCCTGTTTTTCTTTTGTTCCTTTCCTCTGAGATGACTTATTTATAAATATATCTGGTCGTTAAAAACCTCCCTTTATATTTTTTAAAAATTTTAATAAATATAGATTTTTTTTTCTCTTTTCCTTCTCAAATTTCGAACCATATCTTTCTGTCTCCTCCTCCCCTCTTTCTATGTCTTACAAATCCTTTTAACTACCCCTCAAAATGTGTTTAAAATAAACATAAAAAAAAAACCATTTTTTATATGCTTGAAATTCTCTTTACTGAAACCAGAAAAAACACGTTCCTGGAGAATTAAAATATAATGAATGAACCCTTAACGTTGTCTGTGTTCTAATATATATATATATATATATATATATATATATATATATATATTTTTACTACGAATGGAAAACACAGAGTCTGTCTATATTTCTGAGATGAGGTATTATGTACATTATTTACATTATTCGGACTATTGTCCTCATCTTTGTCGCCATATTTATCACAACGTTTCGGCCGTTGTACGCTCCGGCCTTCTTCAGATGGTTTGAATTTCGAACTGAACCATTTATTTCGCTCACTGTGGTAGACTGTTCTAGTTCCACGTGCCATGTTTGATGGATGTCAGTTATCAGTTATCTCCTGCTAATTTCACTCTGAAAGTTCTCCACTGCCTTAACCGGGTATTGAACTCACACTCTTTGGGTCCTGTCACTGGATCTAACCAACGCCTTAGTTAAGGCAGTGGAAAACTTGGATAGGGGAATTAACAGGAAAGATGAGGACAATAGTCCGAATAATGTAAATAATGGAAAACACAATTTAGATCACGATGTGGTTATTTTATTATAATATATATATATATATATATATATATATATATATATATATATATATATATATATATATATATAAATATATACGGAAAAAAAATAATACAAAAAAACAAAAAAAATCCTTATATACAGTTATGCTGTTTTAATGTTAATATGTCAACGTCGGACGTTTCGGTCTAATAAACCATCTTCAGGACATATTCATAAATTATAACATTATCAATACAACATGACAAAGACGATGTACATTTAAACAAGACTTATCCAAACAGATAACTGAAAGTTTTATTTTTCAAATAAAAAATTCACGTTTTCGTCACGTGATTGACGATTATGAAAACGTATTCCTAAAATTTTATTATTTATAATACGTTTTCATAAAGCCCACTGTACGATATATATATATATATATATATATATATATATATATATATATATATATATATATATAAATAAAAAGGTAACTGTTTCTCTGATTGAACCTAATCGCGAACCCTTAAATATGTTGTGTGAAATATTTGCTTCTGTGATTAGTGTAAAATTATGTCCTTTTCTGACCCGTGCATTTGTATTAATGCCTCTTTGCTGTCTGTGTGTTCGAGCGCGTCTCGGAGATGTTCTTGCCTAGAAGATACAACATCAGCCTCTAATTCAGCTGCGGTACACAAGATGCACGAGTTTACACATAAGATACACATGGGCTTGCGTGTTTCCCCCTGACGACGACGGTGGAAGCGTTTCGAAAATAGGCGTAACTAACAAAAAAGCTCTCTGTTAGTCAAAATCAGTAGAAAACGCATGCTTCTTAAAGCATCTTCTATGTGCTGGTTCCATTCAGAGTATTAACATCATGGCCCTCCTCCACAATTTCATTTCCTTTGTAACTCTTAGTAAATTTTGTCTTTTTACACACTTAAACCCTATTCTACATCCATTTACACAAGCTTATTGGGTAGGTAAGGCGCAGTTTTCCACTGTCTCTCTTGCCTTCAATCTCTCCTGTTAGTGTCAAATTTTAAAAGCCCACTTTTCTCATTGTGTGCCTATATATTTCAGCAGAATCTTTCTGATATTATTTGCCCTTTCTTTCCCATTTTGTCTCCCATGTTTAGTCTATGATATTGACAGCGTCCTTATAAAGAACTATTTTTTCTGTTGCTTCAAGTTTTTTCTAAGAGATTATTCAGTATTCACTGACATATAGGAGGATACATATTATATAACAGTTAATTACATTTTTCACTCTTTTTACGAAATTCGTATATTTCTTAATACTTTTCTTAGCTTTTAGAAGGCATCTTTCGCTATACCAATGCACCTTCGGATTTCATTGTCGCCCTTATGTCTCCGGTAAAAACACTTCCAAGATATTTAAATGATTGTACTTGCTTTATTTCGGTATCTTAAATTTTTCATTTGCACGTTTTGCTGTTTCTTTTATTGATTCTGTCTTCTTTTAATTGATACATAGTCCTTTCTTCTCACTTTCCTTCATTATCTTGTGTAGGTTTTCTTGTAGTTTCCTTTCTGTGTCTGCTATCAACACTGTTTCATCTGTATATCTTATGTTGCTAAGATTGTGGTCGTAGGACTTCTAATTCTCTCAGATTCGCCCCACGGTCTATGATACGTCCGTTGAGAAAATACGCCCTAGTCTTTGACACCCTTCCATTTTTATATATTTACTGAATTCATTTTCTATCCGTATACGGGCCGTTTGTTTCCAGTATATTTTCTGAATTATCTTTCTCAATACGTTATTTCAGTCTGTGTGAGAAAAGATCATCTGATTTTATTGCAGTCGTAACAGATGTTTTTTTGTGGATGAGTGGATGCAATTTTGTATCAAATAAAATTGCCGTCTGGATGAGGCAAGCCGGTGGGAATTTTTCAAATTTTCAAGTAAATATTCGGTATCCGCAACAAATCACTTGTGCTGCGTAGGAAATTTCTGAAGTAGATTTTTAACAGAAACAAACATATTCTCCTTCTTTTGCTGCTACCTTCCTCCTCATCCGCCTTCTTCTTCTTCTTCTTTTCTTTTTCTTTTTCCCCTTCTTTAGTTCTTCTTCTTCTTTCTTCTTCTTCTTCTTAAATTTCTTTTATTCTTCTTCCCTCCCAATCCTCTTTCTTTTCTTCTTCTTCTTCTTCTTCTTCTTCTTCTTCTTCCTCCTCATTCTTCTCCTTCTTCTTTCTGTTGTTTTTCTTCTTCTTCTTCTTTCCTCTTCATTCTTCTTCTTCTTTCTCCTCCTAAAATTTCTTCTTCTTCCCTCCTCATTTGATTTCTTCTTCTTCTTTCTTTTCTCTTCTTCCTCCTCATTCTTCTTTCTTCTTCTTCATTCCTATCCTTGTTCTTTTTCTTCTCCTTCTTCTTCTTCTTCATCTTCCCTCCTCATTCTTCTCCTTCTTCTTCCTTCTTCATTCTTCTTCTTTTTCTTCTTCTTTCTTCTTCTTTCCTCCTTCTTCTTTTTCTTTCTTCTTCTTCCTACGCCTCTTTTTCTTCCTCATCTTTGTTTCTTCTTCTTTTTCCCTCCTTCTTCTTCTTCTTCTTCTTCTTCTTCTTCTTCTTCTTCTTCTTCTTCCTCCTCATTCTTCTCCTTCTTCTTCCCTCCTCATTCTTCTTCTTCTTTCCTCTTCATTCTTCTTCTTCTCCTCCTCCTCCTCCGCCTTCTTCTTCTTCTTCCCTCCTCATTCTTTTTCTTCTTCTTCTACTTCTTCTTCTTCCCTCCTCATTCTTCTTTTTCTTCTTCTCTCCCCCATTCTTCTTCTTCTTCTTCTCTCCCCCATTCTTCTTCTTCTTCCCTCCTCATTATTCTTCTTCTTCTCTTCCCCCCCACTCTTCTTCTTTTCCTTCTTCTTCTTCTTCTTCTTGGTTTTGTTGTCCTCCGCCTCCTCCTTGTTCTTCTCCTTTTCCTACTGGTCCTCCTCCTCCCCCTCCTTCTTCTCCTCCCTAATTCTCTTTTCTTCTTCCACCACTTCTGCTCGTCTTCCTCCTGCTCCTTCTTTTCTTCTTTTTCTTCTATGTGTTGTGTCAAAAAGAGCAGTGCAAATGCAGAAGTACGTGTACCGGTGTTTTATAGACAATGCAAAAGCGCTCGACAAAATACACCACAAATAACGGTTAAAACTGTTCAGCAACCTTGACATATTCAGAAAACGATATTAGAATAATCAAAAATCATTACTGGCGGCATACAGATGAAAAATAAGTTAATTAAATTTACAAAAATATCTGGAAAGTTTTCCATTAGAGGACAGAAACTGTGATTTATTAAATCCAAAGACTTGTTCTCCTATTTTTAAAACAGAAAAAATCATTGACAGGAAATTTCGTTGGAAACAAAGAAAATCGTACTGAACTGTTATATGATATCTGTCATTTTCAATTTTTCCTTTTTTAAACAATCTTCTCGAAGATGAAATAGAATATAGCGAAGCAATAGAAATGCAATTCTACAGAAGAATGTTGAGGTTACCATGGACCGAACATATGAGCCATAACGAGGTTCTGGATGAAAATAAAAGATTTTTCTTATTTAACATTAGAAAGATGTTAGCTGAAATTCCTGATTTCACGTAATTCAGTCAACATTTGTATATTCTTCTTCTTCAGAGGAGGGAAAAATCGACAGGGGAAAAACAATAAAATTTAATGGGCTTGGTCAAAGTAGATGGCGGAACATGTTAAGATCTATCACGGACAGGAAGAGGTATTTAGATTATCGATTATATCCTGAAGGAACACAGCACATAAAATAATCAAATGGTTGACTGATAGTGACGACAGCTTTTCCATAATTCCCTGTCCTTTGTATCTTAATAAATTTTGCACATTTATATCTCTCCAAAATCTTATTCTACCATCCGTTTACACAAGTTCGTAAGATATGTTTTGCCTTCAACAAGTCCTGTGAGTGTCAAACTTTCTAAATCCTCTTTCTTAATTATGTTACTTGCAGTTCTGAGTCGAGCTGAATTGAAAATGACGTTATTTAATCGTGACAGCACTCGTATGCATCGCACAAGTGTGTGCAAAGTGTAATATGATTGGCATCATCTGATTAATAAAATTAATTTGAAGTAATCGATGTTCATATTAACAATCTATTTTTTGCATACTTGTTCATCCAATACAAGAATTAATAGTTTCTCAATATAGATAGTTAATGTGTGATATTTTTTGAACGTAAGAGAAGGCAAGAAATAAAATCCATGATGTTATGCAAGAAAGATGACGGTTAAAACTATATTTGAAAAGGTCACGATTTTAGCGATGGGGAAAAAAATCCTGCCGAGAATCGGTATCTGAAAGCAGCAGTTCTTGGGAAGAAGACTTCCTAATTGAGCTTACATCTTACTAATGGAATACGATTATTATCCCAGTTCTAAAAATATCAAAAAAGACTTAAACGAAAACACGTACCATGGAAAATAATAATATAAACGGAAGATTCCGATGTTTAAATTACAGGAAATATGTTGTAGGGTGGAAAATAATTCATCAACCACAAAGTCACCAAGACGCTTTTGAAATGTATCATTTTTTAAAATTTTTATTTTATACTAGAAGCCATACCCAGCTGGTCGATCAGAAAAAGCCTACAGTAAGAATAGAGCAAAAACAGCATGATGTTTATATCTAACAGAGTCTATCTTCTTCAATTACTTTAAATTACTTTCATTAAAAAACATTTTGAATTAATGCAGTTACTGATATAACAGAAGTAATCTGTATTTATTCAAGATGGCCGAGGACATGAATAAAAAAAAGACCCACTTCAGATCACAATTATTTTGGAGTTTTTCAAATTTAGTTTGACAATGTGCTACCAGGGATGTAAAAGAGGATTCATTTATAAAGCAATTTTAAGTTTGATGAAAATTGGTTGAAAGATCAACGAAAAATAAGAAAGAAACCATTAAAAGTCGCCATTTCTTGCTATTTATGCGTGTTTTCACTATATAGGTGAACTAAATTATCAAGTTACATGGCTGTTAAACAGTCAACTTTTTATTGGCTACAATTGAATGGTGCTTGTATTAGATTGCTTGAAAATTGAGGGAGTTTTTAGTTTAAAATTTGTGATGAAATCGATTTTTCGTTTTTCGCGGTTCGTTTTGCTAACGCAGTGTCGTAGTAATAAAAATGAGGTATCGTTAAGCTCGTCATTATGGAAGTAACCTACACACCGAGTTTGAACGAAGTTTGAGGAAGTCGCTCAGTGAGTTGGTCAGTCAGTTGATGCCGGACGACCGTTAGTCGGATACTAAAGTATCAGCGACCACAACTAGATTTCTCTGCGTCATTACCTATTATATCAAGTTCCTAACGTTTTGTACGTCGAACCTATTTTAGGACCGACTTAGTACAAATACAAGCATCCACTGGGAAGCCACACCACAACAGTTGCCATGTTTATTACATCGTTTCAGCCGTTGTACGCTCCAGCCTTCTTCAGATGCTTGGGGTGTCGAACAGAACCCTTTATTTCACTCAATGGGGTAGAATGTTTTAGTTCCACGTGCCATGTCTAAAGGAAGTCAGTTATCTCCCGTTAATTCTCCTCTGAAATTTCTCCACTGCCTTAACTAGGTACTGAACTCACAATCTTTGGATCCTGTCACTGGATCTAACGCCGTTATACACTGTGCCATGTGTGGTTGAGGACAGGACCCAAAGAGTGTGACTCAATACACACAAAGAAATTTGGGCGTACAAAACCACAAAAACATGCAAACACACAAACACACACACACAAATATATATATATATATATATGTGTGTGTGTGTGTGTGTGTTTGTCTGTGTGTGTGTGTGTGTGTGTGTGTCCATTTGATTTGAATGAATAACTGTAGTCAATTTATATATATTTTAAAATTGTATGTATATATGCGTTTTAACAGATTTCAGTAACAACATCGTATAAATGTTGGTATATATATATATATATATATATATATATATATATATATATATATATATATATATAGATAGATAGAGAGAGAGAATTCTATTGTGTCCCGAAGAAGCATATCTAACATTTCTATACGCTTAGTCAAAAAACTGTTTTCCACTTTGTCCAATATATATATATATATATATATATATATATATATATATATATATATATATATATATAAATATAAAATAATTTCCAAACTATGGAGTTCAGGTTACTTATGAACAAAAAATCATGACCAATGTTCAAAAAAACATCAGTCCGCAAATCATTTTAAGATTTAATTAATAAGCTTAAATTTTACAGAAGACGCTGTAATGTAGATTCTTTGATACAATCCAAAAATACATTTAAAAAAATTTTGAGGCGGTTTCCTGACACCAAAAGAAGTTCAAATATCTATATAAACGTATGTTCAAAAGGCCATCATTGTACCTCAACCTGGCAGCTCATAATAAATTTTCAAAATGTCCTCCGCTTTGTTCTACACACGCATGCACCCGTCGGATAATTAACTGGCACATCCTTTAATATACTCCCACACGGTGTCAAATGATTTCGCATGATCTCATCACACGATGATGAGGTGTCACTGCATTATTAATGTCTGCTGCATAAACCAATATTTTTGGGTGGTCCCACAGATAGCAATCCAAAGGATTGCTGTCGGGGAAAGGTGCAAGTCATGTAAGTGATCTTCCACAACCAATCCATATTTCATGGTAGATGTCAGCCAGTAGATCACTAATAATCTGATTAAAATCTGTTGGAGCAACATCATCCATGAACCACAAGCACCTTCGTATTAGCAAGGGTACATCCTCTAGCAGGCTTGGAAGTGTGTTCGACATAATATCCATGTAGACATCTCATGTAAGACGTGCACGGAGAACACATGAAACAACAAGACAGTCGCAAACAATTCCAGGCTACAGTTAATCGTAAACTGATGTTGATGTCTAGCCTATGTTGTACGCTGATGATTCCGATCAGCCGACAAATTCTGGTTATGTAAATTTGTTATTCTATCTCTTCAAAATTTGACTCATTCCTTAACAAGACTGAAAAGGCAAACAAATGATCGGCAGTTTGCGCAATACACTATCGGCAAAAGTTATTCCATAGTGAGCGATCAAGGGGCAAAAGATCGTGCAAACGTTGTACATGATACGGATACATTACCTGCTCTTGAAGTAATCTCTAAGCGATTCTCTGAAATATACGACATGCTCGCGCCACTTGGCGTATACTGTTACCGGGATCGTCTCGAACGGGATATAGAATGAGTTCTTCGTGCTCAGGCGTACGAGCGGATCTCGGGTTTCTTCGATCTACAGTTTGTGGTATCACGGTTCCTGTCTCAACAATGTGATGATAAATAGCAGCAAAGGTTGGTTGAATCGGCTGCCTTTGGTGTTGAAAAGCAATCTGATACGTGGCCGTATGCAAAAATCATATCTGCCTGTCCACGATATGATATCCTGCCATTAAACGGAACGGAACACTTCTATGTTAACTCACCACTGAACGTTGAAGACAGAATGGCCACAAATGTACACAAATAACAAGTGTAACATAGTCTACATGACATCAAAGCGCCACCTGACGTAAACATTCATGAAACTTGATAATTCATAAACGAAGGATTTGCGAACATATGGACATTTGCCCTTGTTTTAGTATGAGGAATCCGCTCCCAAATTTTGTAAAATTATACTTGATTATACTTGTTCTTAAAAGAGTGCTCATTACAGAGTAGAGCAAATATAATTTATTAGAAAATTATAACATAAATATGTTTTAGAATCACTACAGAAATAGCCGTTTTGTTTCAACACTTCTAGTGTCTTATCATGTGATGGTGTTTAATACCCATTCAAGGATCTCTGATAAGAGAATGCAAAAATAGAAACAATATGGCTATTTTTGTAGCGTTTTTATAACATACTTATTTTATAATTTTCGAATAAATTATAAATATATATAAATATATATTTGTGTGTGTTTGTATCTGTGCGCACATGTATGTGTGTTTGTATGTGTATGTATATATTAAGTATGGGGTGGGAAAAAATAGTGTGTGTTGAATTACAATGAGACCTTCAGAGTCTTTCCAAAACCTTATCCTGACTTTTAATAACAATATTTCAATATTTATATACATATATGTAACCTGTTTTCCACTATAAGATCTACTCCATCTCGATTGGTTTACTATTTTAGTTACTTATGTGGCAGTGATGTATACTAATGACTTATATATACCCATGCATAAAAATATAATTTATATTTCTCTATAAATATGCCTGACTGTCTATATTCTATCGCCATTGAGACGGATACAAACACGAAGACTGTTTCAGCTACAGGCATCCATAACCATCTGGCATGCACCAAAATATTATTTATTTAAATGAATGCGTATATTCATTTTTTACACAGAAATAGTAAAAATGCGCATTAAAATTTTATTTATATTTGATTTATTATATAAATATATATATATATATATATATTGAAAGGGTTAAATACTATATATATATATATATATATATATATATATATATATATATAATAATCAGCATTTATAAACGATAGCTTCTGCCTCTCAACGTTTGATAACTGGTTTTCTTTTTCACATCATTAAATTTATCAAATGTAAAATAATGTGTTATCATTGGTTTGTTTGTACATTATTCATACACAGAGAGAAAAAAAAAGTAAAAAAAAAAACAAAATGTGTATTTAATGCTTTATGTATCATGACAATCTAAACATTGTAAGTGTTTGATTTGTATTTTCCTAGGTTAACTCCCCGATATATACTATATATATTTATAAATATCCACATACGAAATTTTTTCTCTCTGTCGATATTTCCATTTTCAAAAAGTCTAACAGAAGAAATTACATTATTAACTTTCAGCGCATCGTCCGGGCAGTCATATTCGAAATAAGAGAAAAACTGCGCTGTTCCAATTTTTGACTCAAATGTTGCCCGTCATCACTCATTTATTTAAGTCTATTCCTTGTACGCACGTAAATGCCATCAAATTTATTATAAACTATACATACAAAAAAA